GACTTCTTTCATCTCGGACTCTGGTGATGCGCAAAACTCAACAATCAGGATTTCGGTACATGTGACCTTATCCATAACCCACAACCATCTCCCGATCCAGTCATACGGCACTTCGAATGAAATGAGAAATGCTCTGACAACTCCGATCGTCTCCATGTGTTGTAAAGTCACAGCTCTCGACAATGCCTTGGTCATCAAGTCGGCGCAATTCTCAGTGCCTCGGATAAAGCTGATAGAAATCACTCCCTTGTAGACTGCATCTTGCAAAAAACAGATCCGAATGTCTATGCGTCTCAATCTTCTCAACAACCCTGACATCTCTGTGACATTTCGGGCTGCCATCGAATCCGTAAGCAAACCTGGAATGGGCAATTCCTCAGCTTGACATCCATAGACGTGTGCCACGGCATGTTGAATACCTATAGTCTCTTTCGCTCCCTCGAACAAAGCATATAGCTCTGCCTCGGCTGAACTACAGGCTACACTTTGCTGCAACCTACTGAATGCTTTGACACAACAGTCACTAACGAAGATGGCTGCTCCTGAAGTACTCTTCCGGTTTGTGGACTTTTCGGCTGCCCAACTGGCATCGACATAGGTCGTAATCCTTGGTGGTCCTGAGTACTCATAACTTCTGAACTTCAACTTTCGATCGGCTACTGATCGGATGTAACGGATACTCGCGCGCGTCGCAGTCTCGTGTACAGCTAGCGGCTGAGATTGACCTCGGGCAAGCATCGAACACAACCAACAAAGATCAGGCCTCGACTGAGCTACCCAACCTAGTTTACCTAGTGCGGTTCGAAAAGTTGCTGCTGCCTCGGGCGATAACGATTTCCGATCTTCTTCCCGGTCACGATCATAAAGCTGAAACAAATTGGGGGTCGCTTGACTTTCCTTTCTTCCTGGATACAAGTTCATCATACCTTCATAGTACTCCTTCTCCATGTACAAGGCAATCGTTCCATCTTCTTCCTTTTCGATCACCTTTCCCTTCTGAATATTCCGATCGTCTCCGACAACCAACAAATCATCAACATACATCAAAACGATCAAGTGATTCTCCTCCTCCGTCTCTGCAACTCCTTTTCGATATCTTCCGGCGAAGATGGTCTTTTCCGTCACGCATGCTGTCAAACCTTCTTGATCTAACAAATCGGCTAGGTGACGATACCACGACATTCCTGCAGAACGAAGTCCGTTCATCGCTTTCTCAAGAATGACGAACAAAGGCTCCCCGTCTTCATCTTCCATCCCAGTCGGCAACGAAACGACCGCTGGGTGAATCACGGGGGCATGCAAGAATGCTGTACTTACATCTAAAACCCCATGCTGTCTTTCCTACTCCTATGGCCTCTCATGCGAGCATCTAGAAACGATTGTTGACTTGTCTCTTCTACAATCTCACGGGGACAATCGGATCGCCGTGCAAAATGCTCATTCCCACAAATTAAGCAACCATAAAATCTTCTGACCTTCTTGACCTATGACTCTTGCAGGTGGTGACCATTGGGCACCTCCACGCAGATTGCCCCAACGAAAGGCTGAATCTCCTGCCTTTTTTTGCACGAGTGGAGACGCCATGTGTGCAGAAATTGCACAGGTCAATCTTGTGCTACGGATAAGTGAGTTACCAGCCATGAATGAAACAGAACCAGAAAGCGACCAACAAACCAAACAAAACAAAAACCACACCCAACACGCAAACCAAAACCCAACAAAGGAAAAGGCAAGCTTCCTGGCAGTTAGCAACTCATGTAAGTCATGCGAAAGTGAGACGAGAAAAGAAGAGTGAAACATGGGGCAACGAATTAGCAAAAGGCCTCTCAGTACAATCAGCAGTTTGCGAGTCAACAGGCAACACTGCTGGCCTCCCTTCATCCGATTGCTTGGCGCAATAGGATGCTACCGCAGTGGTTTTCCGTTGTGTGCCTGTCCACTCTCCCACACGTTTACAGGGACCCGGCAGCATGGTCACGCAAGCCTCTCGCCACCCTCAACGAAAAAGCAAACACTATGTACAGCTCTGCTGCTTTGAGTAAGGCCAGGCGCCTAGCGCTGTTTGAAAAGCGCTACGGCGCCATGACATTCTGCAATGCTGGCTTTCGACAGTGGATTGTCCTGGAGCTGGGTGTGGATAATGTGCATGCGAATGCCTTGATAAATTTGGGAAACGGATAAAAACACATTTTTTGAACCAACATGTACAATGTTCAGTCAGGCACACCATGTTCAGTCAGGCACACCTGTTACATGCGTTGCCGTGCGCATACTGTGTTGCTTTTGAACTCGCCGGCCCTTCGCCGAATCAAATCTCAGTGTGCGGCGGGTGTTCTGAAGGGTGTTCTGTTTTTATCCTTTTTCCAAAATAATCCAGGCATTCGCATGCATCTGCTGCGCTCAAAGTTTGCGCTTCTCGCCAGACATTATCCCCGCCCAGCTCAGGGCAAATTATTTAGCTTGCTGCGCTTGCATTGGACAGCGTCCACCACCCACCACAAATTATTTAGCTTGCTGCACTTCCATTGGGCAGCATCCAGCGCACAGACTGGGCCAAAAGCCAAGTCCCATGAAACAACCAAGTTAGAGTATAGAAGTTTACAATCTGGACGATTTGCCGCTTTCGATCCGACAACATTTGGAAAGAGCTTCGCAGCTTGCAGAGCAAGATCCTTCGACGACTGCTAGTCAGGCAGCTGGGTTTTTGGCACAGTACACCGAAGACGCCGAAGACAATGAGAACGTGTGCTTCGTAGCATTGACTTCGAGACAGCGCCGCCAGAGACCCAGGAAGGGCTTCGCAAAGCAATGGAAAAGGAATGGGAGAAATTCCTTCATTTCGGAGCCGTTGTTGTGATTGAAGGAGCCGAGAAAGACGCATTGTTGCAGCAAGGACATGTCATGATCCCCAGCAAATGGGTCCATGTGGACAAGAATGAGTTCAAGAAGCGCGCGCCCGATTATCAGCCGAAATGGAAGAGCCGATTAGTGTCACGCGGAAACTTTGAACAGACAGAAGGCATTCGCTCCGCACATGATCATTACCGCATGGGCTTCCGTTGTTGGAACCAAATTGCATTCCGCAGATTCAGATGTAAGTAATGCTTATTTCCAGTCTGAGCCACTGGATCGAGTACTTCCTTTGCGACAGCCACGAGGCGGACTGCCTCAAGTTGATCCCAGCGCCGCACTGTTGGTACGAGTTCCCGTGTATGGACTCACAGACAGTGGAAGATCATTTTGGCTTCGATTGTCGTCAGATGCCAAGAAGGCTGGACTTACGCCCAGTATCATTCACCCAGCATTCTTTTACAAACTCGATGAGGAGAAACGTTGCGTTGCCATGCTGACAACACATGTCGATAACATGTTGTATAGCTATTTGCCAGAAGCAAAGGAAGTGATGGATTCGTTGTTAGGCTCCTATGAACTAGGTTCATTGGAGGAGATGAACTTCCGCTACTGCGGTAAGGCTTTTGGTGAACAGAACGCAACGCTGTTTACCCACACAAAGGTTAACGCCCGAACGATCAAGAAAATCAAAGTGGACAACAGCCAGAACTTGTCACGCAAATTGAGCCCAGATCAGATCACGAAGTTGAGATCTGTTGTTGGCTCGTTGGCGTGGGTAGCAAGAGGGACGCCCTGGCGTACCGCGTCAGCTATCTTCAAACAGCGATCAACGGCGCGACCGTTGGACTCCTGCATCAGTGCAATAAAGTAGTCGATTTGGCGCGCAAGCAACTCGAAGATGTCGCGTTTCAATTTCCAAGAGATCATTTGAAGACGACCGATTGGCGCAATGTTGGTATCATCACAGTGACAGATGCTTCATTCTGCAACGAGAAAGGTTTCAAGTCGCAGCAAGGACGCGCGCACCTTTTGGCCAATGTGGAGCAGATGAAGGATGAGAATGTGTACATTTACCATGTGCTGCCATTAGGCTTTTCGTCCACGACCATCAAGAGAGTGTGTCGTTCGACACTCCAAGCCGAGACGTATTCGTTGCAATCCGGTATGGAGAGCGGAGACAAGATCCGTGCCCTTATCGCTGAGACGAAGGGTTGTTTGCGCAGCCACAAGGATTGGGAATCCATTATGAGATCCTGTGTCCCGCATTTGCAATTTTCGGATTGCCGTTCGCTATGCGATCACCTCGACGCAGAGACACTTGCCAAGGTGTCCGATAAGCGACTAGGGATTGAGTTGGCCGCAATTCATGAGAACTTGTGGCAAGGACCACAGAGGACATTTTCCCGAACGGAGGAGATCGTCTTGACTGGATCAGCACTCACACGATGTTGAGTGATTGTTTGACCAAGAGCATGAAGCCGGACCTACTACTTTCGGTCCTTCGATCGTGCATCTACCAAGTTGACAAGAACAAAGATAAACGACGAGCAGAACGATGAACCGTAGAAGAGCATAGATTTGCCGAAGAAGAGAAGTTTCACTACCTTGAACGTAGAACGCACTACGGAACTACTTGTAGGGATTCCTGTATAGCTGGCGGATTTGTGCATAGATCCCGGACAGACTCGAAGAACAGGTTGAATGTGAATTTTCCCTGTTGTTGGTATCTTGTGTACAGCCGAGTTCTGTCCATGGTGCATTCCGCCGCCAGTTGGGTTTACAGGGCCCTTGAGTTTATCCGCGCTTACGCCTGCGTGAAAACGCCATTGGACGTCACGGTCGGGACCAGTTTCATACACGTATCACGAATGTATTTGACCGGAGGCCCAAATCCAGGTGCACCGACGTTTTCAACTTTGAAGTGGGAGTCTTGCTTGCATATGGTCCAAGCACTTGCAAGGGGTGGGCAGCATGAAACAAACTTCACAGTTCACAGTAGGATTCACACCAGTTGGTTGGCCAAACCCACATTGTTTGGCCAGACTCAATCTGGAAATGAAGCAACGATCCATCAACCAAAGCTGTGTTTCGGGAGTGGACCATGTTCGAGCAAGTTGAACCACGATTCACACCATTTTGTTATGTTGTTGTGAAGTCATGATCGAAATTGGAAGCGTGCCATGGGCGCTTAGAACCAGAGCATCATAATGGAGGCGAGGGGTGCTTGTTGCCCGCACAGACTTCAATCTCAAAGTGTTTACAGAGTTCAATATCAACGTTTTTTGTGGATTGAGCAGCTGCCTGGGAGCTAATGTGTGAAGGGTTTCAGTGTCCAGTTGGACATACGCGGATACTATCCAATCGACCTAGATCTCACATTTGTTTCAACTCGACAGGGACAAATTGTATACTTTTTGTTAATTAATGGCCATGGCTGAGCACACATGATGTGGAAGTAGCGCTACAAAGATTCCATGATGACAAGTATCCTTGACGGAACCGACGCCTGCATGTTGCAGTGTCATTTTAAGTGCAGTTGGGATGTTTGGAATACTTGCATCAAGGCGACGTTGCCCGAAATATGTGGCATAACTGCTTTGCCAGCAGTTGCTCGTGTCCTCGGTTGGGCTTTGGTTCGGGACATCACAGGTACTGTATGTTTTTGTTCCGTTTCTTTGTTCCTATCTCAATCCCTATGCTTCATTCATGCGCAGGGCTTGCATGGCAAGTCACAAAACATACCATGTTTCCTTGCCATTGCCATATGGAACCATACCATTTGGAGGTTTGGAGAGGTTTGAAGGGGTCAAGGTGTGGAGAATCGAAGGGCTTTGGGCGAGCGACACGACCTGGACCTCGAGGCCATGGCTTTGGGCTCAATGGCCGTCTCCGCGGGACAACCGAGCCGCTGGCTTCTTGCGGTTTGAAGTTTCCAGGAACTGTGTAGTGCATGTTTTAAGCAGCGCTAAAATTTACTAACGTCGAAGAGAACAAATGTAATAGCTGCCAGGTCTGAAAAGCTTGAGGCGAGGTTGCAGCACCTGTCTGCTGGCGCTAGTGGCCTCAGGATCGAGTTCAAAGGATGTTGGGCCCCCCTTCTGATCGCTTCTGAACCGGAAAAACATGAGGGAGAGACTGGAAGGCAGGGATGCAGGTTCAGCCAGAGGGTAGCAACACAACCAAAAAACCGCCGAGTTGCTCCTGGGCGCGGTGACCACCGAAATCTTCCCGATCCTGAGGCGAGTTCTCAACATGAACAGTTCGAGTGCCAGATTTCGAGTGCCAGATTTCATTGCAAAGCCTTGTTTGTCCTAGCGAGTCTTGCTTGTATGCATGCTATCGGGTTTGGTTTTCAATGCTTCTTACTTCTGACGCAGTGAAAACCGAATCAACCGGACGCAGGTCCCAGATGGTTCCTGACAGTTCCAGGCCACGGAGATTTGTGAACATGTCGCACATAGCAGACTTGGCATCTCGCACACACACACATACATTCAGGAAATCGGAACCAACCGATTCCAATTTCTGGCAAGTTATGTTCTAAATCCAAGAACCATGCAATCCAAGAAGTTCAAGTTTGGAAGAAGCTATTGGAATATGTTGCGCAGGGTCCTGGAATTCCTGGAATCTAGTGGTGGCAGTGGTGGCAGCTTGGGTCCTTGTGGTTTTATATAGATGTCAAGATATGCAACGTTGTCCAGCAAAGACTACAGCGGCTGTTACCAATTTATATAAACTTAAGATGTACTGTAATCAAATCTGAAAAAAGGGACTGCTAGTTTCAGCTACTGGGATGGGTGGTTGTTGGGTTACTGCCCTGTTATATTATGTTCTCACCTGGTTTGGTGAGGCATTTGGGTCTTTCAACCACCAAGTACTGAGAGGTGCGTGGCACTTGGCTTTAAGTGTGGATAGTCAAGGCTCCATACTCCCCTCTGCTCTTTTTACGTTCCCTGCTCTATTTCTTCCTCGTCTAAAACATCTTACATCTTCTATTTTTGGGCATTTTGTTCATCCTTTACCCTGCTGTTTGTAGTTCCCATTCATTGATGTGTGACCCTCTACCTTGTATGTCTGAATAGAAGAGAATACGTATATGCAAGTAGAAACCAACACGGGGAGAGCAAAGAGTCTGGGGTAGGGCATAGTGGAATGGAGGATTTGCACACTTTTAGATGGCCTGTTCCAACGTGTTGGAGAAAGAATGGAATCTATAGGCACTCAAAATCGCTGAGCTTCAGTGGAAAAAAGTCAAGCTGACTCATTTTCTACTTAGCGATTGTTTATTTGAAGGAACGATTTTGGGTAGGAGGTCGCAGATTATTGTGTAATTGAGTTGGCAACAGGGTTGAGTTTCTTCTTGTTGGGATCTTTTAAAATCAAATGTCCAGAAAGACACCATTTGCCACCCAGCAGCTGCAAGCAGAGGTTTTGGAGCGGGAGCAGCATTTTGTGTACTTAAAAACAAGAAAAAAACAACTAAGTACAGATGCGTGCTGTGTGGATTATTGGATATCTACTTGCTTTTTGACCTGCCACCGAATCTTACAAAGCTTCCTTGGACACATGCAAGCTGCAAACCTCAATTTTCTATTCTTGAAAGAAATGCCCCGGCGGCCTGCCCAAGACCATCTGGCAGATAAGTCATTTGCATTGGTACTCCGAGCGAAGCCTCAGCAGTCCGCAAACAAACTCGAGAAAAACAAGTGTCATGATCTCTGGTGCAGATCTGTCTACTTCGTTGAACTTTGGCATCCCACCTGTCTCCCACCTGTCTTCCAATAGAGCCGTGACACCACGCATCCCAACACTACCCGTCAATGCCAGACATAGTCTCATCGCACTCTGCTGATCTGTGGTGTGGTTTAGGCAAGGAACATGCAACAATGAAATGCAATGCAACCTGGCAGGGCTTCGTGTGCGCATCAAAGCACCTCATGGAAAGTCTCGCGCAGCCACACATCACGACAACCACAGCCAAACCAGCTCCTGAAGGTGTATTTTTTCTCCTCAACCGAATTCCGAACTTTGACAGCGCTGTGCAGCATTTGATCCACTCCTCCAATGCATCCTATGCCCGGAGGTGTTTCGTGCCCGGTCACTCCAGAGTCAGTTGTCGGGTTTTTTTAGTCAATGTGTGGTGTTGCTAAAGACTATATATATGGTCACGGAGAGAAAATAAATCGTGCGGAACGTCGTGACTCATGAATAGGCGGCTGCTCAAACTTTTCTTGAACTGGTTGTACGACACTCACGCGGTTGAATATGTCTGTGATTACGTAGGTTTCCATGACAGCACCCTCCATGGATTTTGTTGTTGCGATATTTCCTGCTATGACTCCTCACTTGTGTTCTTGGATGTGCCGTTCTCTCTTCTGGTACTGGTTGTCGTTGTGGTCGCTGCTGCTGGCTACCGGCTTTTGGCTGGCTTGTTTCAAGCACTTTCAAGGCTCCTCCAGTATGATAGAAATTGATTTGTTACTTAGTGAAACCATAAAGCTTCATGAAACTTATTGCTGCGACCTTAAATAGAAAATGGCAGCACCCCCTCTGCTGGTTGGCATCTGGCGAGGGTCGATTGGAGTCACGTGGTCACAGCGATGCTGGGTGTGGGATCCAAGATCGAGTGGTCATCAGCGACTGGGATGGAGTTGGATGAGTTCCTCCAAAGACTCTTAGGGAATCTAAAGAGTTGAGGAATCTCAACATATTGCACCAATGCAGAGCCTTCACAATTCCTTACCCACATTCCAATTCTTGAGTTATTGATTATTTTTTCGCATGACACTAGCCTTTGTTGAATCCGACCAAGTAAGCTTGCTCGCTCCATATTGTTGGAAACTCGTCCAAGTCATATACCATTCTAGCTGGAAGAGTTGAAGGTTTGCAGTCACCAGTGGCTGAGGCTTTGCTGCAGCGCTTACCGTGATGTACTCGCTGAAGAGCTTAGGCCTTGAGGACGACGAGGAGAGTGAGGTGCTGCAGAACTCTGAATGCTTTGAAAGACGACATGAAAGCGTTGAAAGCAGTGTTTCTGAAGCTTGTGAGCACTTTTGACTTTGCTGCCAATCAGAGATATCCCCAACCAATCCTAAGAATCGGAGCAGGCAGAGCAGTCTTCTGCCGCTGTGCCTGGCAAAGGCGCTGCTGTCACTATAATATAGACATTTTGCGGCCGCAAGTGATGGCCAGTGGTGGCTACTCAAAAGTTATGAGTCCAAAGCAGTGAAATGGCAATGTTTGTTCTTCAAATTTCAATGCAGTGAACAGTTGTGACTGAAGCATTGCGATGGAGCAAAATTACGATGATTTGAAGTTTGCAAGGTAAGAACCATCAAGAACTTAGATCATAACTTCTAAACTGATGCTCATCCACCAAAGAAAAATCAAATAATTACTACAGGACAAGCGCCACCCACCAGAATACACACCAAATCAGCCAATGTTTGGTATCAATCCATTCGTATCACATTGCTCAACAAAATAGGAGCTCAGCCTTAACATGCTGTTCTTTTGAAACCCTATTAGAACGGTTACTAGTACCATGGTTAGTGAGTAGTAATTCTTACCCTCATAAATCTTCCCGCTCTAGAAGCTTTTCAACCGTGTCCGTGCTGCTTGCATGGAGGCAAGTGGGCCTGTTTGTACTGATTTGTCGGAACTCCTGCTTGCCTCTTGCGAAATGATTCCAGCCCGAATCAATTGATGAATAATTCGTAAGATTATTTTTAGCAGAGTGGTTCAAAAATTTCCTTGAGAACCAACAACACTTCTAACAAAATCAGGAACAACTCAATTCTTTTTGGGTGTGCCATAACAAACAAACTTTGTATGTGGAACACAAAGTTTTTTTATTAAGTGCAACGCAGAATCCAGTTGATAGGGTGCATGGGGCCCTGTGGTCTTCATGTCAAAGCGAATCTTGAGTTCTTCGGCGGATCGAGTGCTTGTGCTTGGCTTCAGACCCGGGATTCGATCCTTAGCCCGTGTGGTGGCCGGCAAACGGCGGATTTCACCGTCTTTGGCTTCTTGTTGATTTCGAGCATGTTTTAGTTGTGGAGCGTAATTTCAGAAGCGTGCCCTATCTCTGTTCCGCGTCTTTTACGTCGCTTGACTCATAAAACCTTGCGCAGGGTCTCCACTCCACTCATGTTGATTGCCGTTGCCTGGTCTGGCTTGTCTATCGACCCATTTGCCTTCGGGCAGCAGGTATGCTCCTACCTGATGACCTCGCTGTGGTTCGATTAGTGGTGGCCTCCTACTCGGCACCTACGTGCACTCGGCACTCGGCACCCGTGTTTGATCGCCATGCCTCATCTACCTTGATGCCATGCCGATGCCTGTCATCACAGACCGTGAATTGGACGAAGAGGCTGTTTATGTCCCGGAACCTCTCCACATCATCAAATACGTGTGGGGCTCTCCAGTGTGGATTAGCTTCTTGCGGTTTAACCATAACAAAGCAGCAGAAAAGACAGAGGCAAGCATTTATCACCAAGTCTCAATAAAGACAGAGATGGTGTGAGGATCTAAACCTTGTCATTGGCCTGGAATAAAGGCGGCTTCAGCTGTTTCGCGCCCTAAAAGAAAGATAGGAATGATCTCTAGGGTTAATGCTTTGTTCTTTGATACACACAAAAGGAAGGCATTACCTGCAGAGGACAGCTGCTGAGTTTGTCCCAGAAATGAACCCAATAAGATCGACATGAGTTCAGTCCTTTTCCCAACATGACTCGACCATGCGGCCCCTTACAGGCGTTCCCACAAAAAATAGACCTTGATATTTTCTCTAAGAAGTGTTTGTGTTTTTTTAGATGGTAAAGAGTCAACAGCCCCAGCCCAGAAAGAGAACTTTGCAAGAGAGATCCCATGAAACCCTTACACAACAGACACTGGGCGAAAAGTTTACACAGTCCAGTCACTGGTCCTCACATGAACCACTTCTGTCAGGCACTGCTTCTGTTGTCAGCACCTTGAAGGACTGGAGAAACGGCGAAACGGCGAGGTTAAACGAACGCTCATCCCATCGCCTGTGACGCGTGTTCAACGACTTTGATGCGTGGGTTAAATCACTGGTGTTCCATTTTCTTAGCATTTTTGTTTGTGTGACTGCTCCTCTACTTTGACATGTTTCTCGTCAAGCTATTGAATTTCCGGCGGACACGGACAGCCCACCTAGTGTTGGCACTGGAATCTACTGGCACTTGTCATGGTTGAGCTCGCAAATAGGTGCAAATAGCAGTTCTCGTTAAATGGCTCTTTCAGTTTCAGGAGCCCTTGCTTGCTGTGTGGGAGCCTTGGATCTTGAACACCTTGGCTGCGACTTAGAAGATCTTGTAGGTGCAAGTTTCAAACATTTTCACCATTATATATTCATATTAAACACATAAACACAGAGATGTGAGATATCTAGCTGTTGGTAGGTTGGTTCCTTCGCTGGACATTGGCTTTCTGCATTGTCTGAGGTCTTCCGATGAGGACCATGGCTGCGATTTGATGGTGTCTCGAGTGGCAGGGTGGAAGGAACACGTGTTAAATGTACAAAACTCTCAGTCTATCACAATCAAATGTGACATCGTGTGCCCCAGGAGCACCCGCAAAGTCCCACCCATAGCGGTTGGGTTTTGGCACAGACCTTGGATAACGCACATCCGACTTGGGTGCACAGTTGCCGGTTTGATGTGAAAGAGAAGTGCTTTGGCAAGTTGCGTGGTGGGCCATTTCACCATGGCCTCCTGTAAATCTGTTGAGAACCTCAGACGTGTCCTTTGGGCATCACCCACAGGTCTTTTTTGAAGCCAGTGTTTGCTGAATCAAATTCGTCCGATCTGCTTTAGTGAGACTTGTGCCGTCTTCCTGCGGTCGAATTGTAAACCTGCACGGCGTGGAGCGGCACAGATTTGATTGCCATGAAGGGCATTGGGTTAGAAAGACTACTGTAATTCTTCGGACAGCTTTAAGACTCCTTGGCATGGGCATATCATCCGCAAAATTTCCGCACTCAGGCGAAGCAGCCCTCTGAGGAGGAGTACAGCCGATTAACGTGCCTTCAAATCGTTGAGATGTATTTTTGTATTTTTCATGTAAAGCTATAGTGAGGTTTTGACTTTTGAAGTAGTGTTGAAAGCAGTCATGGTTCTGCCCAGGTCAGCTGTGTCTCGGTTACAGGCCAGACTGATACGCGATGCCGGGCGTGACTTATGTGTAATCTTGGTATGTGATGTGTCAAAGATTGACATCTTGCAGGGAATGATTGGGGGGCAGCTTTACATCAGACATCAGGACATGTTCACTAGCGATTGGTGGCCCAAAGGGACCTGAAGCATGGTTTCTCGAGGCAAAGTGCTCGACGCTACGATCCTTAGTTGACGCTGATGAGGCAAGGAAAGAAGAGCTAAAAGCAAGAGGATGAATCAATGCAAATTGTTGTTTTTTCTCAAACGAATTCGCGACAAACCTATCTTGACAAAAAGATGACACGTGAAAGTGACGCATCTGGCTTTCTGAGCTACACTAAAACCGAGTAGCCCTACAAATACACACACGCACACACTTCAGAATATACATACAATGGTTACAAGAAGCTACTAGTAACAAAGGGCATCGCTACTAGGAGCAAGAAGCTACTAGTCGCTCCTGGCATTCCTACTAGTAGCAAGAAGCAACTAGGAACAAGGGCGGCAAAATGACTCAGTTGATTGACACCCTAAGAGCAACCTTGCAAGACGGAAGCTTCCAGCTATTTGGTCGGCCGGACGGCTATTTGTCTCAGTAAGCCCAGTTGCAACCCACAGGGTTGAGAACACAAACATGGAACACAAACACTTTCATGGATTTTCGACCCTCACCTCCCACCAGCCCGCCCAGAAGGTGTTCCTGCACGAAATCATCAACCTGCCTGAAAAGGTGATTGCTTACACAGAAGTCACCAGAGGTGGTTTCTGACATGTCTTGACTCTCATATCCTTGGCGGGCACACGCACACACTCAAGATAAAGCGTACTGACACGATCGCAGTTTGCCACGCGCCAGCCTAAGTATGAAAGCCTAAGAAGACAGGGTAACCAAGAACCTGAAATCCTCAAATCCTCAGGGAATGGAGTGGAGTCCAAACACGAAAGTTCAGAAAGTGAATCGGCGATGCACCAGCCCTTTACTGCACTAAACGATTACTGCTAAACAAAGAATGAGACAGCTTTGGCCATACGTAGGTTCATCTCAAAGCAGGTACGTAGCTTGAGCGTCCCGGAGCTACATCACAGACCAATGCAAGTGTCTTTGCTGGTGCCAGACTTGCATGGTCCCTGGCACCCTCTGCTATTTGTCAAGAAAGAACTCGAAATTGAAGAAACAAAATCAACGGATTCCCTGTGACTCCAAAGTGGTCACACACACACACACACACTTAGGATAGGGTGTACTGAACTGAAAGCGGTGCCACACGCCGGCCTAGGGTACCATTTCCTAAGAGTACAAGTAATAAACCACGGATCCTGGAGGTCTTCAAGAGGAAATAGGGCCAAACTCGCAAGTCGAAAACGAAACCGAAACGACAGGGTGACGACGTAGCGTGCAAGTCTGCGGAACTCAACTCAGCAAAATTAAAGCTCAAGCAGGTACAGGTGGATGATCAGTCCACCCCTCCCTCGTCATACCGTAGCTTCGTTGCGTACGGTGGGTATGACGAGCCGTACGCCCCTGCTGAAGAAATCGGAATCAATTCAACGGAATCCCTGTGACTACAATTCAAAAGAAGCCCTGTGACTACAAGGGAGACACACACACGCCTCCCGGAGGGGAGGCATATTGAAGGTGCGGACAAAGTAGTAGTAAGGCCAGGAACGTCTAGTAGCGTCAAAGTAGCACCCTAGCACCTAGTAGGAAGGCCAGGACCCCAAGTAGCATCCCAAGCTAAGGTCCCGGCAGGAGGGACGGGTAGGGAGAGACGAGAAAAGGAAAGAGAAGAAAGGAAGGTGTTCCCAGCTACGACGCATGCGTCCAAGGACACACCAAAGGAAGAGAGGAGAAGCGTTCCCAGCTATGACAAAAGCATCCAGGGACACCCAAGGAGGAAGGAAGGTGAAGAGAGGAAAGAAAGAAAGAAAGAAAGAAAGAAAGAAAGAAAGAAAGAAAGAAAGAAAGAAAGAAAGAAATACAGAAATACAGAAAGAAAGAAAGAACGAAAGAAAGAAAGAAAGAAAGAAAGAAAGAAAGAAAGAAAAAAAGAAAGAAAGAAAGAAAGATAGAAAGAAAGAAAGACAGAAAGACAGAAAGACAGAAAGAAAGAAAGAAAGAGAGAGGGAGAGAAAGGGAGAGGAGAGAAAAGAAAAAGGCAGGTGTTCCCAGCTACGAACAATCGTCCAGGGACAAACCAAAGAAGGAAAGGGGTGATCCTGAGTATTCCATTCAGGAAAACACCAACAAGCAAAGAAAGAAGGGGGGAGGGAAGGGGGGGGACTAAGCTCTCGACTGGTTCCAATGGACCTTGAACAGGCTTCGGTCGCTGCGACCACGTACGGTTTGCCCGAAGGCTGCCACCTTTGACCGCTGCGGTCACGTAAAGGCATGAGCCAACTTGGAATTCCAAAGATGAGACAAAAATCTGAGTTCTTGTGGCATGAGCCATCTACTGTCCGCTCCGGACACCTACGTTCCCAAAGCTGGGGAACATGGACAGACACCCGTTTGACCCCGGGAGGCACTCTACGGGCTCATCCCGGACTCTCACTGGGAGAGACACACTTAGGATAGGGTGTACTGAACTGAAAGCGGTGCCACACGCCGGCCTAGGGTACCATTTCCTAAGAGTACAAGTAATAGCCACGGATCCTGGAGGTCTTCAAGAGGAAATAGGGCCAAACTCGCAAGTCGAAAACGAAGCCGAAACGACAGGGTGACGACGTAGCGTGCAAGTCTGCGGAACTCAACTCAGCAAAATTAAAGTTCAAGCAGGTACAGGTGGATGATCAGTCCACCCCTCCCTCGTCATACCGTAGCTTCGTTGCGTACGGTGGGTATGACGAGCCGTACGCCCCTGCTGAAGAAATCGGAGTCAATTCAACGGAGTCCCTGTGACTACAATTCAAAAGAAGCCCTGTGACTACAAGGGGTACACACACAGCAACGTTCCAGGCGTTCCTCACAAGTAAACCGCGAGGCGATGTTCCCGTTGCAAAACCAAACCTTCGTCAGCAGCGAAGTTTTGAATCCCAAGGGTCGCACCATAGGCAAGTGTGATGCTTCCAACTGAAGAGCAATCTGACATGCATTCAGTCACTTTAGTCCCACGCTCAAGTTGGACAAGGCAATTCCTTGATTGGTCGTGCAACTGGAGTGAACAGGCCAAGTGTGATTGACGTTTGAATCGCCACTCTACAAATTTCTTCCCAGCCCAGCAGTCCCTAGCAGCAACCGATCTGTGATGATTTGAGGTGTCAACAACCGGCAAGCCGGGCGATTATTTTCGACCGATTTCTCGTGATGAACTTCTTACTTTTTGGTGTGATGGTTGGTAATTGTTTGTTAGATGATTTCTGAGGATCTGTGCCTCACTGTGCTGAAAGTTTAGCACTGAATTGCAGAACTGGCATGAACCTTCCCATTGACCTGCATGCATGCTTGACTGGGAGGTTCGGGGTGTGCGACCGCCCTGGGACAATATTCAGTTGCTTTCTTGAGCTCAAGAGTTCTTTCTGCTGGGGCTGGGCTTCTTGCTTTACGTTGGAAGGTTAAAGCTGTGGAGCATGCAACCTATGCTGCAAACCATAGGAACGCTAGCAAGCTAGCTTGAACTTGACTTGCACTGGCACCTATCACAATTCCTCGCAGGGCGTGGACCTACCGTGGACCAGCGCCCCAGAGATCAAGGGGAATCACCACAACTACCCCAGACCCCACCACAGCTGATGACCACAACGCCACCACATCATACCACATCACTGTAAATCGCCAGAAGACATCAGTGGGCAAGCGCAAAGTTTCTAGAAATGGCCACAAATCAGAAGCTGCCACAGATTTCTAGAACCCCCGCAACCTCACAAACCACGCCTCGGGTCAAATCCAACAGGCGCCGGACTATATAGATTGATATGCTGTTGTCATTTTGCAAAACTTGCGCCCAAGGAAACGTAGATGAGGGAAGGAGAAGAACAGAATTCAGAAGAGAAAAGATGGAGGAGGATAAAGAGAGAGAGAGAAGAGCTGATGGCGGACTGCTAGATCTCCATGTTGGCAGGTTGACCGAGAGGCTGTCGATGAGGAGGTTCACGGTCTCGACTTCTTAGTAGACTCTGCCCGACGAGTGTGTTGGGCATCTCGGATTGTGTGTTGCCAACCAAAAAGGCCTCGGTAAGTCTAAAGTGCTTCAAGCTCTCTAGCAAGAATACACACAGATCTTTTGGAAAAACGAGGACTCTGTAGGGTTTGACGGTCCTCGTGGGGCATGTCGATCTTAGTCTTAGGCCGTGGTGCTGAGCCCATCGAGCCCCGCAATGCCAACCGCCTGCGGCACCACGTGTTGGAGACCTGAACCCAAGCTGAACCAGATGTGAAAAGAGCTTCCCTGAAACAAAAGGAGCAGGAGCAAGTCTTTGTTCACGGGAAAAGCAAGTTTCTTACAAAGACCATTGAGAGACTGGACAGCAAGTGAGAGGCACATTCAATTCTTGTATTTTGTACACAACAGACGTTGCGGTGCGCCTCATAAGATTCGCTCAGGTCACAGCTGGTAGCTGGTATCGAGCGTCTAAAGCTTGGAACTGAGCTACAGGATATTCAACCCTCCCGGGCAGCCGTTCGTTTGTGGAGTCGTTTAGGTCAAACGTGCCCAAGCAAAGAGGGCAACACATACCTTATTGAGCCATATTGAGAATATGGTGCTTGTGCGGTTTGAACCTGTCTGCTTCTGCTGCAACATGTCACTGCTGTTTTTCTGAGTCTACACCTGGAGTCTGAGGGCTTCAGTGAAGCATCGAGTCCACCTGGTCCATCGGTGTCGTTTTGCGACCTCTGTTTTTGAACCAACCAGGCTGTGAGGCTCGGCGCGTGCGGCACTGCTAGCAGCCTGAGTTTCCGAGGCAGATGGATTTGAAAGAGCCTGCGACAGTTGATGCCCAGCTGAAGGAGACGGCAGCTGGGTTGCTCAGCACGTGACTGCTCGGTTGCCCCTTCTGACAAATCCTCAAGGATATATATATATATATATCATATATTGAGAAACTTAAGCCACTCCATGCACCCGACTGCAGACCCCCTTTTCAGGTCAAAAGGAACCTGTCCGCATGGTAGCGGAGCAAGGACGGAGATTTGCATAGCATCTCTCCCGAGCTCCAGGGACAGGTAGGGAGCAGGACCCAACTCCCTCAGCGCGCCCCGTCTCGAGCTGCGCCCCCGCGGTCCATAAACTGGTGTGGCAGTTTGCTCGCAATCGGTGCTTGCGACTACCCCATCATAGAGTTTGAAGCGCCTTCGATTACCTCCTTGCCCATATCCTGGAAGAGAACGACTTTACTGAGGAACACCTGACGGCCCTACGACCTTGTCACCAAAGAGGCCCTTGAGAACGAGAAAGGTAACCCTATGGACGGATCTGATCAAGGTCTAGCAGGCTTGACAGGAGGAACTATGGAGTTGGCCCAGGCCTTGATTCAAGCTGCCCAATCAGCATCCCAAGCTGCCCAAGCTGCAACTACGGCAAGTGCTGTACAAGCAGGCGGAGGAGATGGTTCAGTGACAGGAGGTCTCAAGAAAGATCTTGCAAAGTTGATACCTCGTCCCAGCAGTTTCAATCCAGTTGATCGAGAACAAGAAGTGTTGCAGTGGAGAGATTGGTATTGGGGGTTCAAACAATACCTGCTGGTGGTGGACGGGGCATATCAAGAGGAGGTTGAACGAATTGAGAAAGACCTCAATGCAGAGGTGGACTGGGAGTTGCTATCGGAAGCTGAACAGCAACGAGGTCACTTCCTGTATAGCCTCCTGGGAAGCTTGGTGCAGGGTAGGCTGATTGGACTGGTTCGCAATGTGGAGAACTTCAACGGCTATGAGGCCTTGCGTCAGCTCTTGAGCAACTGTCAGCCCAATGCCCGCAATCGCACTATGAGCTTACTCCAAGGAATAATGGCCTATCCGAGCTTCAACATGAGGACTTCTCTTCTTCCTCAAATCCTCAAGCTGGAAGAGCACTACTACCAGTATGAAAAGCTCGGAGGAAAGCTCAACCCCGACATGAAAGCGGCCATTCTGCTGCGCTCGATTGGAGGTCAGATGAAGATGCACCTGAACCTTGCTTTGAACGAGGGCTCAACCTATGCCCAAATTCGAGAAGCCATCATCGCGTATGACAACGCCACGACGAAGTGGAATGAAGCAGGAGCATTGTCTTTCACGAGCCCTACGACTTCGAGCACGGATCAGGGACCTATGCCCATGGAGGTGGACCGCCTACAGCAGAAGGGAAAAGATAAAGGGAAGTCCAAAGGAAAAGAACAGAAGGGGAAGAGCAAGGGCAACGTTGACAAAGGCAAAGACAAGGGCAAGGGCAAGGCAGATGGCGGCGCCAAGAATGGGAAAGGGAAAGGAGGCAAGGAGAAAGGGGGAAAAGGAAAGGGCACCAGTGAAGTGTGCTGGACGTGTGGGAAGCCAGGCCACATGTCAAAAGACTGTTGGAGGGTGCGCCAAGTGGAGGCGCCACCTGCATCGAGTATGACATCCAGCAGTCAGCAAGGATCCGTGACTGCCACAACCACGACGAGCACTACGAGTGGTGGAGATGGATCATCAAAGGCAATTCGCCGTGTTTCACAACCAGCAGTTTTTGATCTGAGAGAGACAGAGCTGACTGGTTCAATTCGCATGATTCAGGAGAGCCCGAGGTCGTCCGTGGAGTTCTACAGCATTGCAACTGATGAAGAGAATGAGGATGAGCAGGACATGGACTATGTCATCAACACCATCCAACATCAGAGTGAGGACATGGAAGTAGACGACCAAGGCATTGAGAATGAAGAGATGATCAATGTGATCCTAGACTCAGGAGCAGATGCCTCCCTCTTTCCAGGGCATCTGATGGGAAAAGGGAAGCCCGTGATGGGAGGATGCCCGTATCTCCAAGATGCACAAGGCACCAAGATCCAAACTTACGGCCATAGCGATGTGGACATCGTCATGCACTCCAAAGAGGGGCGAGAGGTGATAGTAAAGGAGAGAGTTACCTTTTCTGACGTGGTGAACCAGCCCATCTTGTCGTATGGTAGATTGCTGAGGACAGGCTGGTCCATTGATGGCAAAACTCAATGTCTCAAGCATGACGAGATCGAGATTCCCCTGGTGTTTCAGAACCAGAGCGTGGTGGTTCGTGCCCATATCAGGTTGATTCACGAACCCAGCTCGATTCGCACACTGAAGGTGAGACTTGGCTCAGAGCTTCAAGAGACAGCAGTTGGCAGGTATGGGTGGCAGAAGAAAGGTGATTTCTGGCTGGGAGTTCATTCCAGTCGACACTACCAGACTCCTCAGTTCGTGCCGGGATTCAAAGACCAGGTTGAAGGCCTTTGCAGGTCGACGCTGGTAGAGCGCCATGGACAATGGGAATTGGTGGAAATGGCTGAACCGCTTGATGGGCTCTGGGAGCAGGAGGAGCCCATTGAGGAGTTGAAGGAGGAAGAGATGAGCCGGGTGATGACCTTCATTGCTCCAAGTGGAACGGTGCCGGAGGCTTTTGGTTTCGAGGTGATGGAGGGATTTCACTTCAAGCCAAGCCCTGAAGGCATTGAGGAGCTGGCCGTACCTGAGGCTATGGATGATGAAGAAGTGGAAGGAGTGGACATTCCTGGTGGAGAGCGTGTCCAGGGTGCTAGTCTTGAAGATCAGGAAGCCCGATTGGAGATTGGAGTAGCAGTTCCTTCACAGCTTCAAGTGAATGGGATTGTGCTGACCTTGGATAGTCCACTTCGGAGCTTGAGAGCTGCCTGTGCCTTTTATCGCATTGGACAGAGTGGAGGAAAGCAGAAATGCTTCAACAGGTTGATGGCACACCAACATCAGCTGGAACTCCTTATGGCCAGAGACCTCGCAGCCCAAGGAAGAGCGATGGATGAACGCATTCCGGTGGAGCAGGCATCAGCTCGTGAGCCTACTGTTGAAGAGAGACGTCGACACGAGCTCACACATCTGCCATACCAGCCTTGGTGTACCGCTCGCCTGAAACACCGAGCCAGGCAGGACCAACACAGGAGGACAGGAAAGTCCCATGAGCAAGGATGCCCCACAGTGTCGTTTGACTTTTGCTATGTGAAGTCTTCAGGCTCAGGAGCGATTGGAGAAGAGGCAGAGGATGGTGCGCAGGCTGGACTGGAGGTCGAGCGTGGTGCGCTCCTACTAATCGCAGTCTGTTCACAGACAGGCTATTTGCTGGCCTTGCCAGTGAAATCAAAGAACCAAATGAGTTTGATCACCCATGAGCTGCTCGCCTTCACCCAGGTGTTGGGCCACGAGGAGGTTCAGTACTATAGCGACAACGAGTCGACCCTGCGTCAGATCCTCAAGCTTTTGGTGAATGCAAGATCGTCGATGGGATTGAAGACCACGATGAGGACAACAAAGATCTATGACTCGGCAGGGAATGGACTGGTGGAGAACGCCATCCAAAGGATTCGCTCGCTTGCCGCAACCTTGATGGAGGACCTGGCTGAGAGGATTGAGCTGAGGTTTCAGAGCCAACACCCAATTTGGAGCTGGGCGTGCAGGCATAGTGCGTGGCTGATCAACAGATTCCAGCCTTTCCATGGGTCGACGAGTTATGAGCTAGCTCATGGTCGTTCCTATGAAGGCAAGTTATGCAACTTCGGGGAGATTTGTTTCGCCTACTGCAGGCCAAAACAAGGCTTCAAAGCAGATCCTAAGTGGAGGATTGGCATCTACTTGGGGAAGACGGAGATCCAGGACAACTGGGTGATTGGGGATGTCAACAGAGTCTACTTGAGCAGGTCTTTGAGGAGAATGGCGGATGCGAGCAAGAAGAACCTCATGTGCTACAAAGGGTTCACTGCCTACAGTTGGGAGTATCAGCAGAACTTTGGAGGCAGGATTGTCCCGTCGAAGAGAATGGCCTCTATGGTTGGCATGCCCATGAGCCAAGCGCTGCCCCCGAGCAGCGGAGTGTCACCGGATGATGTGGATGCTCAAGAGATCCTCGCCTTTGTGAAGTCGTATGCAGGGAAGAGAGAAGAGGCAAAGGATTTGATAGATGAGACGCCCGTGCGAGAAAAGGGCAATGGAAATGATGGACCATCAGATCCCGAGGAGAGGAAGCTGGCGGAGGACAAGAGAAAGGACTATGTGGAGGAAGAGATTCCAGAGCTTGTGAAGGTGACCTCACCCATGGCCGTTGATGAGGGAAGAAACCAAGCCGGTCCCTCGAACCCTCACCATCGACATCTACATGCTCCTTCGACTCCCAGGAGTACGGCTCAGAAGACATCAGGTCAGGAGCGTGAAGAGGTGGAAGGCAAGAAGATGAAGATGACCATCGAAAAGCCTACACGTCAATTGGAAGCGCCAACGCCAGAGCCTAAAAGATTGAAGCATCAGGAGGAGCCCAATACGGAGAGAAGAGTGGAGATCACACAGGTTGGAGAGGATTCGTACTACCGCATGGACTACATCATCGGTGAGGAGGAGTTGGCCGTGTGGAGTTACGAGGATGGAGAAGAAGATGAAGTAGCTCTGGAGATTCCTGAGGCTTTGTGGTCGAATGCACCTCTTGATCGAGTCCCGCCAGATCCGCCCAGGTGGATCGATGATCTAGCAGATGAAGTGGAGGAGAAGCGACTTGAGAGGCTGGGAGTGATCACCCCGTTGGAGAGGAAGATTGAGGGCTACAAGGATCTCACTACGAGGTTCGTGCGAGATTGGAGGGCCAAGCAGAGGACAAATGAACCCGGAGCACCAAAACAATTTCTCAGGAGATCCAGATTGGTAGCGCGTGAGTACGCGAATGACCGCCGAGATGATGTGCATAGTCCAGCGACTGGAGGGCAAGCTCTACGACTTCTTCCAGCAATCTACTTGATGAAGCGGCAGGAGGAAGAGCATGGAGGACCTCGATATACGCTGGGAGCACTTGATATCAA